CACATTACAGCATTGGCATGGGGAAGTGAGTACCTTCTTCACCAGGGACTCTAGCCCCTACCTTACCTGGGCCTCTAGCTCTTACCTCACCTGGGTCTTTAGCCCCTACCTCACCTGGGCCTCTAACCCCTACCTCACCAGGGCCTCTAGCTCCTACCTCACTGGGGGCTCCTGCACCTACCTCACCTGGGAATGACAAGCTGTTTCAGGGAACAACAGTGCATTTTACTTTTCATTTCAAATAAAACGCTGGGTTGCCAAATTCAAAGAGCAACCACTCTGTCATGAATATTACGGCTTTTTGGTTGGGAGTGTTTGCTTAGCTGCTGTTATTAACACTAATGGCACATTAGCGCAAACAAAGGGCTGCATGAGGCGAACTACGTCTTGCTTGGTGGTCAAAGGCGTTTGACGTTCATTGGTGAGGGAAACGGCGGTTGTAGTGCTAAACCACTACCGAAAAGACTACAAAAGCTGCGCCGGATAAAATAGAAGCGCCCCATCAGGTTTTAAATCACAACTTTCTGTTTTGGCTATCTGTTCGGGTCCGTATGGGACTGCTTCTGGTCCGGAACTGGACCGCGGTCCGCCTGTTAGTGACCTCTGCTCTAGCCCCTATATCACTGAGAATTCTATCCCGTAGTTCACAGGGGACTCTAGCCCCTCCCTCACTGGGGACTCTACCCCCTACCTCACCTGGGCTGCTAGCCCTAACTTCAGAGGAACCTGTAGCCCTTACCTCATCAAAGACTCTAGCTTCTAGCTCAACAATGCCTCCTCTGGGTTGGGGATGAGTTACTGCCTCAAGCAGATGAGTTTAATTATCTCGGGGTCTGGTTCACCAGTGAGGGAAAAATGGAGTGGGAGATCAACAGGCAAATCGGGGTAGTGCCAGCAGTAATGTCTGTCATGATTGAGAGAGAGCTGGCCTCCCCCCGAGGAGCTGGAGGAAGTGGCTGGAGAGATGGAGGCCTGGGTATCCCTGTTCAAGCTGCATCCTCCACAGCCCAGGCCTAGATATGATTTGATTCAATTCAGCTCAGTTCAATTCAATTATTTTTTTATATAGCGCCTTTCACAACAGAGTCGTCC